CCACCTCCTGTATGTCGACCTCCAGTTGTGCGCGTAAATCCCTGAAAAATGGTGGAAATTTATTTCGAAAAATAATGTCTCTTCAAAAATTTCTTTTAACATGTACAATCAATCCGGCTCTTGAAAACAAAGTAAAACATTGGAGAACAAATATTTTAAGGGACTACTGCGGAAATTTCTCGAGGGTTTCTTTGAATTGGGGAGCATTAAGCTTCGGTTCTGCCATATATATTACAGGGTTTGTATAAATGAACTTAATTCCGACCTTAACATGAACTTAGAACTCTGCCTCTGACCTTGTTTGTTTCTAAAACCATACCGACTTTGTTTAAATCCTCTATAATCTTTATTTTGAGTCTCAACTTGGAGTCACCTCGGGTCTTCAGTAACCAAAATAGTTGCAACGGTTATTTAATACCCCTTTTGTTGTAAGTTCAAACGATGCGAACAGACTTCTTCTTTACTGGCGTAGAAACCGCTTACGCGAACAGACTTAGGTCGCTAAAATAACAACTCTTGGATGGATAACATCGTGCTCAATTGTGGTAGTGTATAACCGGCTGTTATGAAAATTGCTCAAACTCTCTCTCTCTCTCTCTCTCTCTCTCTCTCTCTCTCTCTTACCAACTGCTAGCGCTTTATTTTAGGAGCTCAATATTCATTCCATCTTTTTGAACCAGATAGATTCACTTCTGTGAACCTTTCCACAAGTGTACTCACCCCCAATGATTGCCTTTCGATGTCTTTTTCATCGCATTCTTCTGAAACTGATCGGCCTTGGCGCCAAAATGTGTCGTGGCGAACATTTGCATCAACAACGAAGCTTTATCCAACAAACTATGAGCCTTGCTATTTAAAGTCTCTCCACTATCTTGTTGTGCGGCATTCCGACTTGTATTTGGATGCATTGTATTCAGAGTATCCTGTTCGGTAGCGTCCTGCTGTGGTGACACAAGTTTCTTCCGCACTTTTTCACCTTTCTTCTTGGCAGCATAACTATTGTAGGGCTCATTCAGTTTCTCATTACCATTGAGTGTCTTCATTTTCGAATCCTCTGTATCGCATTGCAAAAAGGCAATAAAACGTTCCAGATCGGTGATCTGAGTTTTCAGCTGCGCCACTAATTGTTCCTTCATGCGCAGCGGACCAACGAACTCGCCAATGGCGTTATCTACATGGTTCTTCAACTCTTCCGAACTCAGTTCGGGTAAATCGCGTTCATCCACTTGCAGATTGAGCTTATTCTTTAGCTCATCAATGATTACCTTTTGTTTCTCCAGTAGTATATGTTGTGGCAAGACGGGGGCACCTGATTCATAAGCCAATTTCTCCAATTCACTTAGTTGGGATTTCAAATGTTCGATCAGTTCGAATTGACGCTGACGCACAGCTTCATCGTCGGGCTGCGAATGGCTAGAGGAGTCGGCATTTGTAGCATTTGTTTTACCTACCGCGGTAGGAACGATTGGCTACAAGAGAGATTATTAAAAACAAAAAAAAATATTATTTAAAAATATTTCCAGTAAACGCATTTCACCGTGATTTTACTCACTTCCGGTATACCGCGAAACGCAAACTCCTCCAAATCTTTAAGTAACTGATCACGCTCATGTGACGGTGCCTCCACAATTTGTCGCACCCGTAACTGGACATGTGCGAAATGTGAAGTCAATGCCATCAATGAAGTGGTTAACAGCTCCTGCTCCTCTTCCATGCTTCTCAAACGTCCCAAATCATTAGTATCGCTACGCAGCATTTCTTGGTTATCCTGACTATCGGAACTCAGCAGTTCCAACTCCGATTCAGGACTAAGCAATTCGGATGTCGGACTCATTGCATCATCGTAATTCGCGCCTAACGGCGACCAACGCTCACTCAACGGATGCGGTGATATATGATCGAAATGTTCCGCTGTCAATAAGGTGTCGTCATTGAAAATGCCATTTGCTTCCTTGCATTGTGCGAACAATTGTAGCTCGCTATTCGACGTGTCATGTAGTGTTGATTTCCCTAGGCTATCTTTTACCGCCACCTCTCCTGCTTCCTCCTCCTCCATTTCCGCCCCGTCTAGCTGACTATCCATCATAAACTCATATGCTGTCGGTTTGTGTGCAGCATAAAGGGTGGTTTGTGCGAAAGTCGGCGACGGTGTAGCGGGTGCTGAGTTGGGGGTGCTTGCCTCCATTAGCGTCGCATCAGCTGCATTACTTTCGCTACATTGACTATTGCAACGACGCTCAAGAAAAATCGTTTCATACTCGTCAAGTTGTTGACCTTCGTCCCCTGTATCATCCCCCACGTCTGTGTGCTTATTTGCCACCTCCACAAGTGCAATTGCACAAACACCGTTTTCTTTGTTGTCTGCCACATTGGATTTAGCAAGCAGGCTGCTGAAGTCCTCATCGAACTTTTCTTCCATCTGTTCACTAATCCGTATGCTATTCATTTTCATTAAGTTTTATATGCACTCTCTTTATACACTATATACACATGGAGAATGTTGATATTATTTTCAAGTATTCGCTGTAAATATTTTGCAACATTTCTAAGCAAAAGTGCTCAGCGAAAAAATCAATTTTATTCAATTAGCACAACGTCCTCAAACAACAAGTATTCGGAGAAAAACTACGAATGTACAACGAAGACATATGGTGTAGTTTTGTGACACTGATTACGGTATATTGTAATAGAATAACGGAAATCGTGGTGGCGTTACCTGCTGCGACATGTTTTTTTTTTTGCAAATTCTTGTAAAAATAAATGAGGTTGCGAGAGAAAGAAAGAATTTTTTTTTAATTTAGCAGTACATTGATATTTTTATTTAAAAAAAAAATAAGTTTAAAGGAAAGGTTTTGAGTTATAAAATTACTTTTTTTTTTAATTTTCGTATTTACTTTTTTTAAATTCAAATTCTACTTTACATAAGTTTTTTTATTTTCATTATATTTCAATTTATTATTTTTTATTTAATTTTTTGTTTTTTTTATATCTATTTTTGGTTTTCATTTATTATTTTTAATTTTTTTATATTTTTTACACCTTTTATATATTTATATTCCATTTTTCTTATTTTATTTAAACAATTTTTTCTTTTATTTTTTTTCTTTTATTATTTGCTTAAATATATGTTTTATATTATTTATATAAGTTAATATATTCCGAAATTCCGTTAATATAAAACGAATAAATTCGTTTAATTAATTTTTTTTTTATTGATTTGTTAAGTTTTTAAACTTATTCTTAAAAAAAAAACAACTATAAGAAATTACTTTTGTTTCCAAGTCTCACACATTTCCTCTAAACATAAAACATGTTTGCTTAGAGAGCAAACCAATTGTAATAGCACCCTGCATGTTTCAATGTAATAGATTAAAGTCGCTATCAGCTGTTTCATGTATTTATCCGCATATGTTTCTGACATTTCGCCATACCGATTTGTTCGCCATCAGCTGCTAAGTTTTTATGGGGTTTTAATGCGTTTGCGCCAATTCGTGTATTTATATTTTAATATCAAAAAATTGGTGTACCTCTGACCGGCAAAACAGAATTTACTTTGACAGAAAGTTGCAAAAATGTCAACAAGACGGCAAGTAATTACGATTTATCGCCTACTTTTGCGCGAGGCTGAAAAAATCCCTGCCTACAATTTCAGGTAAGCTTAGCAGACCTAAATAGGTTGGTTGCCTGTTATAAAAAGTTTTCATAATAAAAAACTGTCTCTTTTAGAATGTATGCTGGACGGAAAATACGCGACACATTCCGTGAGAATAAAAGTATTAATGATTTTGCAGTTATCGATCAGAAGCTGGCAGAAGCTAAACAAAATCTGGAGCTTGTGCGGCGGCAGGTTAGTAAATTGATGTTTATTTTTCGTAACTGCTTGCTTTTTGATAAGCTATGTGATAAATAAGTTATAAAGATTTGAGGTTACGCTGCTGATGGCTACAGAAAGTTGCGGAAAACTTTCTTTTCTCACCCAGAACCATAACTATGACATATAGCTGCAAGAAAAAGTGATTTATTTATATTCACGAAATTTGGTACGGATTATTATCTAATACACAAATATGTATAATCTGCGAGATCTCTATAACATATGGCTATCATACAAACCGAACGATCAAAATTAAGTGCTTGTTTGGAAGCTTTTTTACTTGTGACCGGTATTATAGCTTCAAGGCAAACAAAGTTAACGTTTTTCGTGGTTTTTTTAGCTTCCAAAAGCGTAATTATTCCCATTTTTATTAAATCGTGCAAAAAATGTAATTGATGTGTGAAATAACTATAAAATGATATTTTTCAGCGAATAATATTCCTAGAGGAATCATTGGCTGTAACAAAATAATATTAAAGCAATATGTTTCATTTATTCATTAAAGTGTTAACTAGTTATATTCATGTTACTTTTGTTTTATATACACATATTTATATTATGTACGTGTAAATGACTAAAAGAATCAAACCCAAGGCTATATATACATACATAAGTACATTTAAATACAAGCTATAATATTATGTGCATATTTTACATACATTGTTCATAATGACGAAGCGTTTCCGATACGTACATATGTATGCACATACTTTATTACAATTTTTATCTCCCGCAATTATCTTTAAAAATTATGAAATTCAGAAAAATTCTTGAAATCAATATTATATTATATATATAAAGAAATTTTGTTTATATCTTATTGATAAACATAACGCTTATCATCATCCATCTCTATATTTGCAGGTTATCATTGGACACCTGTACTCGGCCGAAAAACTTGTCATTGAACAGCCTAAAAAAGCACTGCGTCGCTCAAAATAAAAGCGTAAATGTTTTTGAATTGCCCTAAATAGTACTATTGCAACTTGTTATATTCGCTACATCATATTAGAATTAGCAATACTTTGACAATTACATTGTTTATATCGCAGTAACTGCAATTAGGTTAGGAGGTTAAAATTTGAGATTTCAAAGAAAAGAAAAAAAGTTGAAATAAAAAATGAGCTTTAAATGTTACGAATTTGTTTCTTTTACTACCCACTTGCAATATTTTTATTTACACCATCTGTATACATGCATGCATGTATGTATGTATGCGTTTAAAGTAATTACATACGGATATGAAATTAATTGCTAATTATTTTCTAAGAAAATGGAATGCCTTTTTTTAGAAAACTAAAGTTGCGGCATTTTGTGGCATGAGTTTTACGCCAGGTATGTACTGGCGGAAACATTGCCACCGGTGCCGGTCCAATTGGTGTGCACAAATTTACCCTCAGCACCTAAGAGTTCATAAGTATGGGCGCCGAAGTAATCGCGTTGCGCCTGCAACAAGTTGGCGGGTAATTTTTCGGTGCGGTAGCCATCGTAGAACGAGAGTGCGGTCGAAAGAGCTGGTACAGGGATGCCCCAAAGGAAGGCATTGGCGACAACTTGACGCCAAGAGTTTTGGCCAACTTCAATTGCCTTCTTGAAGAAGTCATCCAACAGCAGGTTCGAGAGTTGTGGATTGCGGGTGTAGGCCTCCTTGATGTTGCCCAAGAACACACTGCAAATAAAGTGGCATTGTAGAAAAACTATTACATAATTGGCCATGCATACGACTTACCTGCGGATAATGCAACCGCCGCGCCACATCAACGCAATGCCACCATAATTCAAGTTCCAGTTGTTGTCTTTGGCAGCCTCACGCATCAACATGAAACCTTGTGCGTATGAAACGATTTTGGCGCAGTACAGCGCATGCTTGATGTGATTTAGGAACTTCGGTAAGTCGTCCACCTTTGCCGTTACCCCGGGTCCGCTCAATTGTTTGCTGGCCGCCACACGTTCATCCTTCAGCGCGGAGAGACAACGTGAGAATACCGCTTCACCGATTAGCGTTACAGGTACACCATATTGCAGCGCTGCAATGGCTGTCCACTTGCCTGTACCCTTCTGTCCAGCTGTGTCGCGTATGCGCTCCAACAGGTAACCTTTGTCATCCTTGTAGTTCAAAATGTCGCGTGTGATTTCGATGAGGAATGAATCCAACTCTTCGCTATTCCACTTCTCGAACTCTGTAGCCATCTCGGTTTGAGAGAGGCCAAGCGCTTTCATGATTTGATACGCTTCACAGATCAATTGCATATCACCATACTCAATACCGTTGTGTACCATTTTGACGAAGTGTCCAGCACCGCCTTCGCCGACCCACTCACAGCATGGTTCGTTATCGGCTTTGGCGCAAATGGACTGGAAAATAGGTTGGATGAGTGGCCAGGCTTCTGGATGACCGCCGGGCATGAGTGATGGTCCATGACGTGCACCCTCTTCACCGCCGCTCACTCCGGAACCAACGTACAAAATTTTCTTAGCGCGTAATTCATCGCAACGACGTGCGGTATCTTGGTACTCGGAGTTGCCACCATCAATGATTACATCGCCGGGCGTTAGTAAAGGCACCAATTGTTTAATGAAGTCATCCACAGCGCTGCCGGCTGTAAAAAATAATCCGAAATAGTATTTAAATACAGTTTAAGGTTATGTTTACGTATTTTTGTATGAATAGTGAAATATGTAAATCAGAAAACGTATCCGAAATAGT